TCTCACTAGAGGGGAGTGAGGGTATCAGAATTGTGAGGAGGGGGTGCATGGTCAACCTGTATTCAAGGGATTTCCTATGGAAAATTAATGTGCTTATTTCTCTACGGAAAAAAGAGAAAATAAAGCAATATTATGTTTTGGTTTAAGATACACAATAAACCAAAGACTACTGTGCAATGATCAAGACCTAGCAGAAGAGTGCTTGATTTCTGATACTAGCTACACTGGATCTCCCCAGATATTGGCAGTAGAGACAATGCTAATTAAACCCCATTCCTGTTCCTAGGCCTTTGGAGGACACAACAGGAGTGGGGACTCTGCGTGCGACATCACAGTGGTGCTTGCGATGGAGAAATGAGCTGAGAACGAAGACAGACAGGCTGAGCTTCTGTCGAGGGTGGGGCTGGAGACTCTTGGAGGCTTGGTGGTCTTTTAAGACTTGACTTTCATGGTTTCCTTGCTAAGAACAAGTCAAACAGACAAAACTGGAGGCTCAGTAGCATCAAGAATTGGTCCACAACGGATTTCCAAGATCATGTCTGTCACAGCCACGTCGTGTGGAGAGAATATGTGGATGCCGGGGGAGGACCCTGCCTGCGGCCAGGGTGTTGTAGTGGGAAAGATGGCTGGTTGCGTTCTCTGCTTTTTTTCCTTCATAAAATGAGCTCCTTTTCTGGTTCGTCAGGCACTAGTGCTGAGGAAGTGCAGTTTAAACAGGGTGGAACATAATTTTTGGCAAGTGGATGTCCCCCGCTCTATTTTTGCTAGGGAATGTAGGAGTTGTTCAGTAACACGTCAGCAGAGACTTTGCGCTTGTCCAGTCCTTTGGAGGAGATGGCAGCTGTGGGCAGAAACTTGACCCAGATGGATTCTGGATCCCTTGGAAGTGTTAGACGTTACGATTCTAAACAGAGAAAGTGGCCCACAGCGGGGTGATTCTGGCTCTGGAATCACTCATGACTGGAACACACCGAGTATTTTGTTTGAAACATGGGATACACTCTCCACTTCACTTTGGATTGACGAGATTTAAATTTCTGGCCATTATCTTAAATGTTATTCCTTAGAGCCTCATCCCACAATTTAAGTATTTTGCTGCCTCCAGTCTTAGCTAATTGTGCGACACTGAAGAGTCATTCCTGTCATTCCCCCAGGGGTGGGCTATTGCTTTTGGTTTACTCTGTTGGTAGAGAGGGGGCCCTGTATCGGGCTCCAAGTTCGCACTTCCTGCCTCAGTGGATGAGAGAGAGAAATGTGGGGGTTCTGAGAGTGACAAGGGTATCTGTTCCAAATCCATATCCAGGACCGAGGAAATAACCGCCGCGGGGTCCGCACTCCAACTGGCCCCCTGAGAATCAGGCGTGAGCCAAGACTGCATCTCCTACCTGACTACCGTCAGCCCCTACTCTGACTTGTGGGCAGTGTCTATTGGTGCAAGGAACAGGTCAGATACCACTGATGTTGTTTATTTTCATTGAAAGTAATCTTTATTTTCTTCGAGCAGTTTTAGGCCCACAGCAAACCGAGTGGAAAGTAGAGGTTCCCCATATACTCCTCACCCCAATACAGGCACAGCCTTCCTGTTATTAACACCCCCTGCTGGAGTGGTACATGTGTTACAACGGACAAACCTGCTATTGCAACCCACAGTGTGTTGGTACATCAGGGTTCATGCTTGGCTCCCTGTACAGGTTTTGACAAATACATAATGACATGTTTCCACCATGATGGCATCACCCAGAGTGGTTCCACTGGCCTAAACCCCACCCCTGTGCCCCGCCTGTTCATCCCTTCCCACTCATCTTGGCAACCGTGGACTTTTTACTGTCTCCATTGTTTTGCCTTTTCCAGAATGTCAGAGTTGGAATAATACAGTATCTAGCCTTTCAAATTGGCTGTTTTTTCCAGTTAGTAATACACTTCTAAGTTTCCTTCCTATTGTTTTATGTCTTGACAACTCATTTCTTTTCAGCACTGAATAATTCCATTGCCTGGTTGTGCCATGGTTTGTTTATCCATCTCCTACTGAGGGACGTCTTGGTTGCTTCCAAGTTTTATGAGCAGGTTTGTGGACATAAGTTTGCAACTGCTCTGGGTAAAAACACCAAGGAGCATCACTGAAACGGGGTGTGTAGCAAGGGGTCCCCCAAATAGAGCATATTCCTTGCAGACCTTGGTTTGGGAAAGGGAGAGTGGCAGCATTTAAGGCACTTGGTGTAACTGTGGAAAGTCTTTCCCGAAGAAAAGCTGTGCTGCCACTCAGGGAGGAGGCCCACATCACTTTCAGAATGTGCAGTGCCTAGTGTGAGGTCACCTAGGAAGCTCCGGGTCAGCAATGAAGCTCAAGGGCAGGCAGCCATGAACGGAGCTGGCCATGAGGGTAGTAGCCATGAGGGTGGCTGCCGGGAGGCTTGAAAGGATATAGAAGGGCCTCCTCCCTCCTCCCCCCACATCTGCCATGAGGTCTGGTGTGAAAGGGGGTGCCGTGAGGTTTTGGATTAAGAGCTGGAGGAAAAAAGAGGAGACCCACTGGGAAACCTGCCTGAAGGACACAGCAGCACAGCTGAGCATGCTGGGGACTGCAAGGACCTGCCTAACCAAACACAAATTAGTGGAAGATGCCTGGAATGCCAAACTGCAGCCCGAAATGCTGGGCTGCAGACTTCTGCTTTTCTGAAAGATGGTACCTCTGACTGGCGTGTTCTGGGACTGGTCCAGTTTAGCAAAGGAAGGCAGAATTATGTGTTTTGGGGTGTTTTAAAGGGAAATGGGACTTAACAGCCAAAATCTGCCATCATCCTGAATCTGTATAACCTCTAAATGAATAACCCCTTTCCTTTGTCGCCAAACTCTTGCACTGGGAGTCACGCTTCTTGGTGGTGGGCAACTGGACCCCACAGCTGTTCCAGAACAGCATAGGTGGGGTTCTGTACCATACTGCTGGGCAAGCGTATGCTTAGTTTTGCAACAGACTGCCACACTGTCTTCCAAAACGGCTGTTACCAAACTCGTTTTTAGTTTATAGATGAGGAAAAGGGCTCATGGAAGGTAATAACTCACCCCAGGTTGGGCCATAGGCAGCGGTTCCCACTCTGTGTCTTTCTGCATCGCTCCCGATGCAGTGCTCAGCCTAAGCTGGGGCGTGGAGACAGCATAAAGGGTGTGGCCTGAGGATAGCAGGCTGGATTTCCCATCACAGGGATGGGAACTCTTAACTTTCCTCCCACAGACCTTTCCCTGTCTCAGTTGAGGACAACTCTATCCTTCCAGCTGCTCAGGAAAGAAAAAACCCTGTAGTCAGCCTTAACTGCCTTTCTTCTCTTGTACCCTATTTCTATCTTTCAAAAATTCTGAGGACTCTATCTTCAAAATATATCCAGAATCTGAACACATCTAAACATCTTCACTACCACCTATTCAAGCAACTCTTAGTGTTAATTTTAGCTATCACTGTATTGTTCTGATGGAGTGAAGAGAACTGTATCTTCCACTTTTAATTTTATACAGCTGGTGTTTGAAAGAATTTTACATAGATTAGTTTCTGGCTCCATACTTTTAAAATCTGTTTCTCACCCACATGCATCCAAGGCTGGGTGCCATAGGACACCCTTATATCAGGAAGCCACCTCTAGTGCAACTCCCTGCCAGGATGTCAGGTGAGTTTGCACAGTGCATGGCAGTATTCTCAGAAGCTATTCCTACACTAGGATGTCAGGAGATGACCATGAACCACATAAATATACTTAGTACACTCATACGAAATGCATCTCTAACTCAAATTCTCTTAGCTAGATTCCCAAAATGCTCCTTGTCCTCCAACGTGAGGGAAAGTGCAATGGTGAGTTAATTGGAATGCAAAGAAGCAGGACTCAATCAATAGCAATTTAAATATTTTGCTTTGAAAGTTTTACAAAAGCATGTGACCATTTTTCTTCAAGGCTTTGGAAGGGGCCTTGCAAATGAAGCATCTCAAAGCTTACCTTTCATGAGCTTCATGGTAAGTCAGCTTTTGGGATATTTTACATTGCAACCTGCTCACTTCCTTATCCCTCTTACCTGCCTTTTCTTATTTCCTCTAGGTACTGTATATGTTCCTTATGTGTCCTCCTGCTGGAATGTAAGGTTTATGAGGGCAAGGATCTTTGCTTGTTTTGTTCACCAATGTTTCTCAGATGCCTAAAACAGGGCCAGGTGTATCATAGATGCTCCAAAATGATTTGTGCATAAATGAATGAAATAATGCATAAATGAGTGAGTGAATGAACTAAGATAATCTAGGGTTAGGAATGTAGTATTTCAGGATTTACACATTTTAAAATTTGCATTTTATTACAGACTCTGCCACTTAACCTTGGCCATGTCATTTAACCTTTCTGGGCCTCTGTTTCCTCGTATATTAAATTAATCGGTTATTTAGTCTTTCAATTACTGTTCATTGCGACACAGCTATGAACAAGAGGATACATTTTGTATCCTCTTGTTCCTTTACATTCAAATCCTACAACCCTTGCAGAGCAAGGAACCCAGAGGCTTCAAAAGTTTCACCTCTTCCAAACCCCGCCCACCCGCCAGCCCATCTTTAGGCTCCTCCCAGATTCAGTACTGCCCGCGGGCCAGTGGAAGAAGCCCCGCCTTCCTCAAGGAGTCATCCAATGGCCAAGATACACGGCTAGGTAAATGCTAGGGAGCTTTAGGTGTCCTCTTGGCGCCTGACCAGAGTCTTGGGAAATTCCCATGCTCTCTTGGGTACTCAGTTCCCCGAGCTACCTCTGCGAAACGTAGGACCACGCGCTCCCCCAGGTCCCCTAGGAAGGGTCGGACGAGCCTTCTAAGCCCCGCTGCAGCCCTCCTAGGAACCTGGATCTACACTGGATTAGATTCTTGCCCCGCGGAATTCTGGGAGTGGCAGTTTTCTTCCTCCCTGTTCCTTCCAGGTACACTGGTGGCTAAGACTCGTGGGACTACGATTCCCAGAAGCCTGAGCGAATCGCTGGTCACGTGGCCAGCAAAGCCCAAGGGGCTGGTGGGCGGGGGCCCGGCCGGAGTTCCGCAGCTGTCAGTGTCTCCTGGAGCCCGCGGGCCCCCCCTTGGCCCCGAGACCCCGGCATGGTGCGCGCGGCCGCGGTGGGGTCTCCTCTCCCCGCGTCTGGCTTGGACATGTTCGGGGACCTGAGAAAGATGAACAAGCGCCAGGTAACGGAGGCCGGCGTGGGGGTCGCGCCCGGGGGCCGGGGCCGAGGCCGACTGCAGTTGCGGGGAGTCAGGGCATCCCGGTTAGCGTTCTGGCAAGGACAGCGCCCCGCGACGCTCGCGCCAGGCTCCCATAGGCATCCGCACCGACCCACGTGTGGGCACGTGTGTGTGCTTTCTTGCACTCGCAAGAGCGGGGTTAGGGGAGTGGGGCCAGGAAGGGGAAGAAAATGGAATCTAGTCCTGTGAAATGTCCTATGTGCTCGAGAAAGCTAGGAGAGTTGACCGGGGCCGTGACAGCTGTCCGCACGTATTTAAAGGGCCACCGGTGGAATGGGGAACAGACCTGCCGGAGCGGTTCCTGAGGCCTGACGCCCAGAGGAGTGCTGCCTGCCTGGGTGAAAGGAAGGAACTTTCTGGCTATGGGAACTGTACGGGGGTGCCTTCCAGAGCAGTTTCTTGCCATTCTGCCAAGTGTTTTCCCGACCGTGCGTCTGGACTGAATAAAGAAAGCCCCTTGTGCCGAGGGGACTCAAAGGAGGTGCTCGGTCACTGAGGACTGAGTCAGCGTTCCAGGGACTCTAGAATTCTCTAACTTCTTTTTCTTTGCTTTTTTTTTTTGTTGAAGTATAATTGACTTACGATATTATGTTACTTTCAGGTATCTCCAACTTCTTTCTCAGATTCTTTCTGACTGCACCTTGAGTGTATAGGAGGCAATTAGCGTGGCGTCTTCAGCAGCTGGGGTTGATTTTCGCTCTTTAGTTACCTCGGAGGAAACTTCCTTCTGCTCTCTCCTTAGTGAGCGCGTGGCCTGTGTCCGCTGACTCTGGGTCGTTCTCCTCAATGTAAAGAAAGAGGACTGGAAGGGAAGCTCTCTCCTCCAGGAAAAATGAGATTGCTTAGGCTTCTAGATTAGAGAATTTAGGGGGTCTGTAGGGCACAAATACCGTAATGGATATTAATGGACCCTAATACTTCTATTGATACTAAAAATAAAGTGTGTTGAGAGAAATGGAACCTTCCTCCTGGGAAGTTGTAATTGTCTTTGAAAACAGCGTTAATTCTCATGGTTTTGGTGGCATCTTGTTTCATTTGTCCTGCTGTGTTGAGGTGTGACTTGGTGGTGCCCCTGGCAGGGCACAACTCATTCCTTTGGGCATGTTTTTTTTTTTCAAGTAGAATTTCATACTAGTGCAGTCATATGGGAGAGTTTGGTGACTTGCATTTCATGAGCCCTGTCTAGAATCTGGGTGTTGCTAGGTGTGCAGAGCTGATGAGTGGGAGTGTCAGTGACTGAGATGAATTGTGGCTGTGATTATCACTAGCTTGAAAAACCAGCAGCCGATGTCCTGATCATGGGCACTATCCCTGCAAAATCCTCCAGGAAACGGAGCTTTATTTAAAAATCTAGACTTAATTGGCTAGGTTTTAAAAGTGTCTCTAAAATTAGTATGATTGTGGGTGATTAGAGTTGCAGACCATCAGAGAAGGCCTGGAATGTGTCAGTCCCTAAGCCATTTTGAAAGCTTCATGTCCGCCACCCTCAGTGATAAGGCCTATTAGTAGCTGTTGTATTGCCAGTGTTCCGCTAGTTTCTGAATCAGAAGCTTAAATCAGCTCCTCTTGCTACTTTGTTTTGTTTGTGGGTTTCAACTTTGTCCCTTAGCCTGCTTCCTTTCCCCTCCAAAATAGCATGCTGTGACACCTTGTCAGCCACGCATGCTCCACTGATCCCCGAAGCGGGACATCCTTTTTCTGCTGCCCCTGCTTGCTCTTCATTAAGGCCAGAGCCACATGCAAAAACAAGGCCTCTTTCTTCGGTGAAGAAGAGGGGAAGAAAGACAGCTACCGGCATTTCTACTGCTCTCTCAGCCAGAATATCTGGTCTCAAATGTTTGTTTGAACCTGCAGGCGTTGACTGTGCCATCACTGGTTGGCAAAGCCCGAGTGTGGGCTTACTTCTCGACTCTGCTGGGTTATTAGGTGCCGGGCATACAAAGCTGGTAGGCAGAGTTGAACAGCAACAGAGTGCCCTTGTCTCTGTTCGAGTCAGCGTTTCAAAGGGGGGTGGGGTGGGGTGGGGGACATCTGTCATGGTGTCAATAATTTCAAAAATTATGTTTCTAGATTCCAGGATTTCCATCCTAGACTCAGATGAGTAGGTCCCTTAGAGTCATGGTGCTGGAACTGTGACCTGTGCTTCTGCCTTTCGCTTGATTGTTGGTTTTTAGATAATTGCCCAATTCGTTAGCAAATAGATGTCTTATTCAAAGGCCCTTTTTCTTTTTTTAAGAAATGATTTTACTTCCCCTCGATGAATATTTCAAACATAGGAAATCATACTGGAAAATGTATTCATAACCCCCAGTCTTTATAAAGTAAATGGCAAGGCTTTTATAATGCGCTTTTTTTCAGGGGGGAGCCTGATGGTCTGAAAGCCTCTCTAAAAACGACAATTTCTGTTTAAAACCCTGCCTTGGGGCTTTCCTAATCAGATCTGTAATTCGTAATGAAACAAAGTTGATTTATCAGATCCTTCAAGTCAGGCAGAGCAGGTGGAGAAGGCGTTTTGAGTGAACGGCCATGAAGAGCTTCTGCTTCAGACCGATGGGACCAGGCCGATCTTATTTCAGAAGCAACAGTTCACCCACCACCTCACAGTACCCGCCCAGCGCCACAGGCCCCTCTTCTGCCCTCTTGGGAATTTAATGATAGTTCCATAATTTGCTATTGAGGCAATAGCCGAAGAGTTTTTACAATTGGTGTATGACTTTAATTTTGAGCTACATTTATTTTCCTGTTTTCATTTATTGCATCAAAAGATCCTCCGTTATTTTATTTTATTTATTTATTATTATTTTAAAAATACTTTATTTATTTTTGGAGAGAGGGGAAGGGAAGGAGAAAGAGTGGGAGAGGAACATCAATGTGTGGTTGCCTCTCATGCGTCCCCTGCCGGGAACTGGCCTGCAACCCAGGTATGTGCCCTGACTGGGAATCGAACCGTGATACTCTGGTTCGCAGGCCCGCACTCAATCCACTGAGCTACGCCAGCCAGGGCCGTTATTTTAATAATTCATGTTTTATGTCCCCACTTTCAGTCACATCTCTCCTAATTACCTCAAATTACATAATTTCACATAGGTGTGATATTAGCAAGAGAGAAGTTTGAGCTCTGCTTTTCCTACCTTAGTATCACGTCAGAATACATTTTCATGTTGTGCCACACTCTTCAAAAGGAGAATTTTAATACCATGTAATGTCCCGTCAAATTGCACTTCCTTTAAACACTTCCCACCCCCCACGGCCCCCCCACCCCCCGATTTTGGAACCGGTCCATGCTCATGGTGGAATTTTACAGAATAGAGAAGAGCCCTGACCAATGCGGCTCAGTTGCCTGGGTGTCGCGTGTTGGATTCGGTCCCCTGTCGGGGCGTGTGCTGAGAGGCAGCCCATCTGTCTCTCTCCCTCTCTCTCTCCCTCCCTTCCCCTCTCTTCAAACATAAACATATAAAATCTCTAAACAAAAGAGGAGATAATAGTTGAGAGAAGAAAATGTAATCGTTCATAATTGCACTGCACCAAGATAGCCTCTCCTAGCATCTGGGGGCTTCTCACTTAACATACCTTAGTGTTTGTCGTGTTATTAAAAGATCGTGTGCGTTAAGTAGTGTAGTAGTGCCGTTGTTACTGGATCATTTCTCTGTTGTTGCTCCTTGACTTCCTGTTCCCTGTTGTTAGAAGTAGGACTGTGATAAATATCCTGGGCCTCAGTCCCCTCGCTGCCTTTATCTCAGACTGAATTCCGAGAAGTAGGATTGCTGGGCCAGGGACAACCTTTAGACGCTAAATTGCTTTCCGAAGGGTTCTGCTGGGCCTTGCACCCCCACCACGGTGCGCCTTTGCCAAGGATTGAACATTAGTGTTAAAAAAAACAACAATAACAACAAAAAGCCTTTAAATTTGCCCAGCAAAATGGTGGGGGCCACAGGGGTGGAGGCAGGATTTGGTTTGAACACTTGAAGTGTTTATTCACCACTTGTATTCTTTCTCTGGAAAACTAATAGTTTTAAGCTTTTACTTCTTTTTTTGCTCCAAGATAGGAAATCAGGAAAGAAGATTGATCAAAAAGTAGAAGCTAGAAAACAGAAGGAGCAATGGTGATTGACAGCCAGGACAAGCCCAAATCCTAAGCCAGCGGAGGGGGTGGGGAGAGGAACAGCTTCATCACGGATGCTGCAGAGTCCTCAACACTGTCGGATTGGCCCGGCCTGTGTCTCGGGAAAGACAGGCCAGGCAGTCAGGTAGAGGGGGTTAGAGACGCAGGGAGCAGGCAGTTTCAGTCCCAGGTATGCTGCTGAGGGCTGGTGGCTCTGCTGGTGGCTCTGCTGGAGGGAGGGGGTCATTGGAGATCAGGAGGCCCAGGAACTGAGATGCCAGAGTGATGGGTGGGCCACCCCATGGCTCTTCAGAGCGCCCTGGGCCCCCACAGGGATGGTGAAGAGGAAGAAGGAGGCAGGTGCCAGAGTAAGGAGCCCTGCACAGGACAGGAAGGGCAGGTCAGACGTGTGCGCCATGCACCAGAGCGGAGCTCCCGGCAGCAGAAGTTGAGTGGCGGGACCCTTCCTGGGCTGAAGGTGCTGGGGAGCCCCGGAGAAGGTCGCCCGGGACAAAGCAGGTCACCCGGACGCTCTGGTCTTCCCCTCCCTCTTCTCTCGTGGAAGGAGAGACGAAATGGGAGGGCTCATTCCAAGGACGAAAGTGGAACTGCTCCCTACTTTTGTGGTTTGCGTGAATGAGTTTCATGTCATCACAGCTTTGCGTTTTTTGTTTTTATTTTTTAAACCAGCACATACACTTAGGGTGAGTTCGTACTCTGCTGGTTTTCACCCTGATTTGGCTTTCTGGTCCCAGCTCTACTACCAGGTCTTAAACTTCGCCATGATCGTGTCTTCTGCGCTCATGATCTGGAAGGGCTTGATCGTCCTCACCGGCAGCGAGAGCCCCATCGTGGTGGTGCTGAGGTAGGTGCCACGGGCCGTGCCCGGCCGCTGGGACCGGGCGGCAGCGCCGCCTTGCGGGGGAGCCTGCATGACAGCCCGGACTCCACGTTGTAAGGGGATAAAAGTCTTCTTTATTGATGCCGGTATGAGAATATTTTGTTTCTGTCTTTTGTTGAAAATCTTAGTTTTTACAACAGACATTTTAGAGCTTTTATCATGTTCATGTCTGTGCTCCACTGCAAAAAATGTGCTTTTGTATTTTGCTGTGTTAAGCCATGTAAAACGACAATTTAACAGAATGGTAGTAATGCATTATTTGTGTACAAACTGGTTTTTCAAGAGCTCGTGTAAAACTGTTCCTTGATTTTCTTTGTACCAAACAGGCAGGGGTTTCTGTCACTGAGTGACAGGCCAGCCCCTTCTGCACTTCTCCTTGCTGCCTTCCATGCATGCTGACAGGGTTAAGGGGCCAGACTCGGAGGGACGGGGGGCGGGGGGGCAGCTTCCTGAGCTGCTGCCATTGTGAACCCACACTTTCCTTTAAAGCTCCCTATTTCTTCACCAACGTGGCTCATTCTCCCCCTTCCAGCCCTCGACAAACTGGCTCCTCATTGGTTGCATGAGCCCTATATAGCCATATGGCTAAGTCTTACTTATTTTCTCATGTATTAAACAATGCGTGAGTATGTGTAACATGAATTGTACTTTGACAGTTTCAGCTTCCTGTAGATTACAGCTGACTTTGAATCCAGCCAAGATTTTTGGCATGGGTTTAAACGGGCATCATGCAGGTTGCTTATTGACCTCCACCTCAAAAACGTGGGTTAGAGTTTGACTTTCTGTAGAATATGGTCAAAAGGATGACATTGCAGGAGTCCAAAGACTTGGCTCGAACTTTTCTCCAACCCTCAGCTTGGCTGGCGGATAGCTCACCTTCCTCAGGGTGTCCATTTGTTTATATCTCATTCCTTGGACAAGTACATTGTGTCTGGGGGGCTGGGGATACACCATAAAGTGGAAGAATTGTCCTCAAGTATTCACCAGGTTGCCGCCTGCAGTTCTGAGTGCAAATGCTAATATGTGTGTGTATGTGGACTTTTTAAGGCTAAACAATGGCAGCTTTTATGTCAAAGAGTCCACATTTTCTTGGTTGTTTTTCTAACATGTACTGCAGAAGGGCCCGCGAGTGCCCTTCCCAGACGTCAGTCTAAGAAGACACCGTGTCCCTTCTCACTTCATGTTGCCACACTGTGGAGTCAGGAGGAGACACTGTGGCTTGTCCTATAGCTCAGAGACCTACTGGACTACTAATGATGGCTGAAACTCGAACTCATATGTTTATGATTATATCCATTACGAGTTGAAATGCCTCCCTCGTGGCCACGGGGTAACTTGGGTGTGGCTCTGTCTCTTCCCAGTGGCAGCATGGAGCCGGCCTTCCACAGGGGCGACCTTCTGTTCCTCACAAACTTCCAGGAAGACCCGATCAGAGCCGGCGAAATCGTGGTTTTCAAGGTGGAGGGCCGAGACATTCCGATAGTTCACAGAGTAATCAAGGTTCATGAAAAGTAAAGAGACTTCACTTCTTTCTGGTGGTGGTCTGTGAATTTTCGGGACACTGTTTTACTGGTTGATTAGAGAGTGCAGAAGCACTGAATTATGTTCCTAGTTCTGCACTGAATTATGCTGCTAGTTCTGCCGTGTGCTAGTTGGGCGACTCTGGACCTGCTACTTAGCTCAGCAGCGGGAGCGTACTAGTTCACCCGCAGGTGCCCACCGGTGGGTGATCACGAGCTTTACACGAGCTGACACTCACTGGAGAACTTGGGCATGGAAGGGGGCATGTGGTTGTGGCGTAACTGCGATTATTTGAAGGGGTCCCAAAGAAAATAAAATTCCACTGCAACTGAGGATATTTTTGATATGAGAATTATTTTCTGAAATGCAGACAGTGACCATTTGTTTTATTTGTTACTTCGGACCAACTGGCACTGTCAATGGTAATATTAGCCCTGCGTGGAAAGAAATCCCTTTCCCCAGCTCATCCCAGGGTTTGGTCCCTGCACATCCTGCATTAATTCTCTCCCCCACCCCCCAAAGAGCCTTACTTTTCCTTTAAATGCCAGTGATGACTTAATAAGACATGTAAGACACGCTCTGAGAACCACAAACACTTACTTCTAGCTCAAATACATTGTTCCCATGAGGCACTACAATCACATTATCAGAGAAAATGTTGTATTTTATATACTTGGTTATTCATTTACCCTTGTGCAGGCTTGGTGGAGCATTTTTACCTGCGTGAGCTATGGAGTGAAACTGAGGTTCGTGTGTTTGTGTTCTGAACAGCACATTGCTCCCTCTGTGCCGAACCATTTGCACATTTCTGGTGTTTAGTCATTCCCTTCACTGCCTCCAGCTTCCCCAAAGATGTGGATACTTAAAAATATTCACTTCATTTTACTCTAAACATCAGAATGGTCCTGCTTCATTTGGGTTAATACACTAATGTCACTTGATCTCTGCTTGTTACCCAATGAAGAAGGACGCACAGCCACAACGTGACAGCACTGTCCCTGATTGAAAACTGATTTCTCAAGGTGAGAAACTGTTCAGAGGGGAGGAAATAACGACAACTTGCTGTCATTTGCACGAACTGGGAGAGACCACCTGGATTTTCATCCCCTTGATTTCCTTTAACACCGGGGCTGCAGGTCGGCTTGCTCCTGTTGGTGCGGTTTCAAATCCTTGTGGGCTTTTAAGCTTTTATCAAATTAGAATAGTGATTTTTTTTCATTTGTCTATTGAAAGAAAACACTCTTTATGGCTCTATAATGCTGTAATATTGTGCTTCTAGTGTCAAGGCTCTGTAAGCACCAGTTTAGTGTTTAGAACGAATCCCGCGTGTCTATTTAACACACTGGTTTTATGCCGCTTGTGATTCCTGTTTCTTTGCAAACTGGATTGGACGCCACTTGGCTCAGGGTGAAGGAAATAAGCATTAACACGCTCTGCATTGGGCGAGGAAGCGTAAGTCTTAGCAAAGGTAAAAGGACATCTGCATTTGACTTACCCTGTGCTCGAATCGCTGTGATCCGAGATCAAGTTCATGTCTAGAGTGAAGAGGAATATAACCCATGTTAAGAAGTTGGCCCATGAGGACAGAGAGAGGGAGACAGCTGCTGGAAGCTAATCGTTGCCATACTGGTGCCCTTGCGCTTTGCTCTGCTTTTTGGTTGTCAGGGTAACTAGAGTGTTTCAGAATGTAAGTCTATAAAAGTCTCATTGGATTTGTGCTTTGGATGAATGGTTATCTGTAAACAATCATCTCAGACCAAGAAAGATCAGGTTATCTTAGGCCGCTTATTCGAAATGCTCACATCTGGCTGTGGTGCATACGCTAATACTTTTGTGATGATGCTGAGCCAAAAATCACGTTTGAAAGGACAATATTTTGCTTTCCAGAGATAACGGAGACATCAAGTTTCTGACCAAAGGCGATAATAACGAAGTCGATGACAGAGGCTTATACAAGGAAGGCCAGAACTGGCTGGAGAAGAAGGACGTGGTGGGAAGAGCCAGAGGGTGAGAATTCCCTTTTACGTGACAGAGAAGATTCAGAAAACGAGGATAGAACCATTCATTATGAGTAGGGCGGGTCAGGAGAGCTGTACGAGGTTCTAGTTGTGTTGTGACAACTAAGTGGGACTCAGAACTGACCGAGGACCTCAAGTCTGAAGCTGCATGCAAGTGTATATTACCTTGTCATGGGGTTGATTCTATTTTTGAAATAAATCCTCACCTAGATATTAGTTGTTTGTGGGTCTTACATGACAGTTCCAGTAAATCCTCTCAGAGGTGGCCCCTGTTGAACACTTCAGTGAATATTCTAGACATTTGCTGTGTCTTATGCAGATGTGAATGCATATGTAACATAATTTTACATAGATGAATTTAAATTGTTTTTACCCAACAGGAAGTTGGAAATAGCTTTTAGTGTCAAACCTGCATCTGTGTCTGAATGGCCACACCACACGCCACTCCCCTCCCGAGAGTCATGACTTCCTCTGTTGGTGGCTGTTCAGATGATTTCCTGTTTTTCACTATTGGGAACAGTTCTGTGATAAGTCTTTCAATATTTATCTTTGCTTAATTGTTTCAGCAATGAGTTCTGCTTCTGATTGACAGCAAACAGTATATTCTCTTATTAGAAAACCAAAAAATGGCAACTCTTCCTCTTCTTTGGTGACCCTTTTATGTTTAACCCGTTAGAAATGCCTTTTTAAAAACTCTATCAAAATCCCACCAGCTGTGTGAGGCTGGAGGGACTACCATTTTCTAAGGTTCAGCTTTAGGCATCAAATTATACTCTAGGGCACAGGTGGCAAACCCAAGGCCCGCAGGCCGAACCCGGCCCTCCACCCGGTTGTATCCGGCCGGGCACCTTGTTTCTACTCGGCGGCAGCACTGAGCTCCTTGCCCCCAGTTAAGGAGCAGTTACGTTTATACCGTCCTAAAGTTACATTCGGCCTTTTGAAGGCAACGCGAGGCTGATGTGGCCCGCAGGGAAAGTGAGTCCCACACCCCTGGCGTAGGGCCTCTTTCTGCCCTTTTCTCTCTCTGCCCACCTGTTAACCATTTTCAGTCTGTCGCATTCCCTCTTGAATGCCTGCGGGGAGAGGCGAGGGACTTCCAGTGGGCCAGCCCTGTAGTTTCAGGGGCTGTGTACCTGGGAGGCTGAAACTACCGATTTGAAGAGGGCAGGAGGGGACGAAGGGTGCGTTACCTGTTTCCTGTGGGTGCCAGTAGTTTTGTCGGCGTCATTGCCGGCCTGCCAGTGCTTCGAAGCTCCTGTCTCTGGGGTCATGATCGTGTTTGGGTGGGAGTTACGAGATTCACATTGATTTGTACTCACTGCCCAACACACTGTCGGTTACGTCTGAAAAGCACTGGGGAATGACAGTGGTGATGATTCTATAGGAAACTGCTTTCCCGAACTGCAGTTGTAGAGAGGCTCTCTGCGTCTCAGTCCGGTACTAAAGAACGGAGAACTGGGCTGATGAAAGTTGCCCGTTCCGCCCGTACAAATGGCTCCACTACATTTTAATTCTGTTACTGGAAATGCAGCAAGTGCACACAGGTAGCGTCTCTCGCCGAAATCATGAGCCTGCCGGGAAAATTGTCCTGGCCATTAGCTCCGACGCTTTGCACTAAGCAAGCCTTTTGAGACAGGAGTGACCATTGTCCGACGGCCCCGATTGGTGGCATTCCCAAGGGAGATTTGTTTCCTAATGCTGATTGACAGTGTTTTCAAAGGTGGAGATCATATTGCAAACAGTTTTGATATTCTTGGCTTTTTATCTCGCAGGTTTTTACCATATGTTGGTATGGTCACCATAATAATGAATGACTATCCAAAATTCAAGGTAGGAATGTCTGTGTGTGTGTGGTTTGTATTTTTGTTTTTATTTTAAGATTTTATTTATTTACTTTTAGAGGGGAAGGGAGGGAGAAAGACAGGGAGAGCAACAGCAGTGTGCAAGAGATATATCAGATTGGCTGCCCTCTCGTACGCCCCCAGCTGGGGACCTGGCCCACAGCCCAGGCACATGCCCTTGCAGGGAATCAAACTGGTGACCTTATGGTTTGAAGGCTGGCACTCAACCCGCTGAGCCACACCAGCCACGGATCCCTGTACTTTTCTACCTTGGCCTTGTATTCAAAGGCTTCTTCAAAAACATCCTTGGGACACATCCCCTCTGATCTTTGCGTGATGGCAGTGATGAAGCTGCTCACTCAAAAGTACACTTTAAATTAGTCTTCTCTTTGGTGCTTGCTCTGGTCCTCAAATCTCACGCAGCCCCGGGCTCCAGCCGGACCCTCCCTGGGCCGTGGTGACCCACCACACATCCCAAGCGGTGGGGGTGTGTTTCTTTAAAAAATATTGGAGCTTTTCCATGCACAGCTATAAAGACTCATTTGTTTAAAATGTTTTGCTAGTTTTTTTCCTGCAGTTTGTCATTGACTACAAATTAACCCAATCATTTCAATTATGTATTTAAAGTACCTGCGTTCATCTTCTGTGTTCACAGTGTGTTCTAAAATGGCACCTGTGTTTGTTGCTCTTTATTTTAGAAATATATAAAGAAACAAAAAAGTACAATAAACCCAGTAATGCCAATTTCCACTTGTCAATGAAAATGGTGTCTCTGGTTTTTAAAAAAAAAACACTTGAAAAACAATAGGAAACCTACTCAGGGGTGAGCGGTGCATTAGCTGTGTTTTGGGCGTTTGGTCTTTCAGTGTATTTTTGGATTTCTAACCACAGTGGGGCATCGAACAGCTAATGTGGAGAACAGGGCGTGGGGGGAGGCCACCTTTCGATTCTGTCCTCGGTCCAGCACTGAACAGACTTCACCTGAACGCATTTACGAATCCCCTTTGTTCGTAGACCTCACAGTAATTTTCCATTCTGTTTTCTCTGCAGTATGCTCTTTTGGCCGTAATGGGTGCATACGTGTTACTGAAACGGGAATCCTAAAATGAGAAGCAGTTCCTGGGACCAGATCGAAATGGATTCTACTGAAAAAGAGAAAAACTAATATATTCGAAATGTTCCACTTTCTGTATAAAAGGGAAACAATGTGGAGACGTTTGTGTCTTGTCCAAATAAATGACTCCTCCGTACAGATTGTTTTCTTTTGTGGGCTCTGCCTGGATCCGCTCAGTCTGCCCGGCCCCGTGGGAGTCACCGGACGCTGAGGGAGGGGCGGTCTGTCCCCACCCCCAGTGGGCGGCCTCTTCTGGGCCTGCTGGGGCAGGATGGGGGCAGTGTGGTGTCCACACGATAGAGCTGTAACGTCTGAGTTTCAAAAATAAAATTTCTTGCATAACCCAGTAGCATTTCTGGGGGAAACAAATAGGCCCTTGAAAAGAGATAGTTTCTAATTTATTAGATTAGTACCTGATATCTAGTAAAGCCAAAAACTTTTTAGAAGGAAAGCATAACGTGCTCTGTTTCGGTGGTTTGATATACCTTGCAATGGTTGGATAAATTATTGGAGAGCATTTAATAAATTATAAAACAGTGCACACTCAAAAACTGCAAAACGTACATAAGGGTGGAAGGGGCTGTTCCCTTTCCACTGGTCCCCAGGCACCTCCAAGCTGGGCATCTCCATGGTTAATTATTTGCATCCTACAGAGTCCTCCCCTAAGGTATTTGTCAGGCCCTTGTGTCCTGGCCACCGTCTTCACAAAGTCCCAGCCGGGACGGAGTGCGTAGCCCAGTGGGAGGAAGAGACAACTGACACGTGATTTCAGGAGCGACAGTTGCCCGTGAGGAAGGATAAAGGGGGTTAAGCAGACAGAGGGTGAATGACCACGTGCTTTTCCAGCAGGTCAGGGAAGACCTCTGGGGGACATGCAGGAGCGACATTAGCAGAGTTAACAGAACCGAAAGGGAATGAGGCACCTAAATCTTGGGAAAGGGCATTGCAGCAAATGGGAGGCCCCCTCAAAGGTAACGTCCTCCAACCTGGCCGCCTGCCTGCCTGCGGTTGAGCACAGGTGCTACACTGGAGGTGAGCTGGCCTGGTCCCACCTTCCCAGCGCACCTGGGGATGCAGTTGCCCAGTGGCAGAGGGACGAGGAGCACAGAGGCGGCCAGCGCTGGGTTCCAACACACTCTTTCATCTTACAAAAATGGCCTCTTTGTTGACCTTAGAGGCAAGAAGGGGCTGGAAAGAGGTATTCCAAGTCATGAAAGGCAAGGACCTACATCCAAGATTGCTCTATCCAGCAAAGTTTTCATTTAGAATGGAAGGACAGATAAAGTGCTTCTCAGATAAGGTCAAATTCAAGGAGTTCATCATCACCAAGCCCTTATTATATGAAATGTTAAAGGGACTTACCTAAGAAAAAGCAGATAAGAAGATAAAAAAATATGAACAGTGAAAGGACAGCCAACTCACAGTTATTAACAACCACACCTAAAACAAAAGCAAACTAAGAGGACAGCTAGATTAGGAGAGAAACCATAGAAATGGAGATCACATGGAAGGTTAGCAACAGGGGAGTGGGAGAAGGAGAAGGGGGGAGAAGGTACAGGGAATAAGTAGCATAGATGGTAGGTAAAAATAGATAGGGGGGAGGGCAAGAATAGTATGGGAAATATAGAATCTAAAGAACTTGTGACACATGGACATAAACTAAAGGGGGGAATGTTGGGGGAGGGGGTGTGCAGGGTGGAGGGGAATGAAGGGGGAAATGGGACAACTGTAATGGCATAATCAATAAAATATGTTTTAAAAATATTTTTTTAAATGGCCTCTTTTCACCAGTGTGGTGGTGGCCTCCTGGCCGGCAAAACTGGCCGAAGCACCTCCCTCGTGCTGGTCTGTCTAATCCTGATGTAAGAGTTTGACATCCCGGGAAGTCACCCAGCCGCCTATGGGCCTTGAGAGGCCCCAACAGAGGATACGAAGGGCCCTCCCCTCCCTGGTTGTCCTGCGTAACAAGCAGGTGATTGACTGAGTGCTCCTAGTGCAGTGCTCGGCCGGTCCGCCCTGCGCTCCATGAACATCGCCCATTGTTGCGCGTTCCCGTTTGCCGTGCACACCCGCACCCCGGAACCCTGGGCAGCAGCTTTCCCAGGGAGCCCCCGGCTTGGTTCCGGAGCAGCGGGAGGCACCGCAGAGGGTGGCTTGCCAGGTCAGCCTTTGTCTCTACGAAAATAGGCTGTGGCAGCAATAATGGCCCTCATCCTGTCGAAATCAGCAAAGTGAAAGAAAAAAAATGACTGGATACTTTCTAAAAACATCATTCTCTTGTGCCCTTTAATAAACTCTTTTCTTACGAAAAATAGATTTTTCTTCCCTTAACTAAAAGTGGCACTTAAAAATGTTGGGTCAAAATTTTATTATTTTATCATCTTCCTGGGGTTCTCTAGTCGGTTAAGATAAACTTCTAAGGAGCTGCTAAGGTGGCAGAGCTCTTTGGTAATCCTTTGAACATTCCTAACACTCCAAAATAAATTTTACAAAGACACCGAGGAGCCCTATCGTGGCTCAGCTGGTGCCATTTAATTGTGGTCACTAGAAAGCACCATCTCTTTTGGCCTCTTAGATCCTCTTGGTCTTTATAAAATGAAAGTGATGGGAGTTAATGCTGGATCCAAGACCTTTAAACTGGGGGCCTGGGGGCAGCTTCCCTGTCTGCAGCTCGGCTAGGAAAACCATGCCCGCACCCGGCCTACCAAATCAGCGCCGCTCCGATTGCCGTTCAATCCAAGCCGCTGCGTCCAAGCCGCTGCCTGTTGGTCCTCGGGGAGAACCTCCCGCGGGCAGCTTCCCTGTGCTCCTGGGACACACTTTCCCACAGAGCTGGGCAGTCCCTTTCCCACTGTACAGCCGCTGGAGAGGCACCCAAGGAGAAGGTGTTCCGTAGTCACTGGCCAAACAAGTGAGGCTCACGGAGGAGGCGGAAGCCTAAGTAAGAACAGGTGCGAGGATTTCAAGACTCCCCCACCTGGTATAGGGCAGACAGCCCACAGATGTGCGCATTAGGAGAGGACACTCAGGAAGAAGTTCCACGGCGTTTGCTGTGCTGGGTTGAGGATCGGTTTAGGTTTCCATAGAAGACTGGCAAATTTCTACTATAGGAATCAGCTTCAGTTTCTTGAAAATGTCGGTGGTGGAGAGTCTGGCTTCCTGGCCTGTAGCCTTTAGTCCCACTCTTTCCCCTTTGACAATGAACATGTGGGTCTTCCGTACATACTAGACAACCACGGCTTCTCTGGTACACACACACACTGCACCTGCCTGATTGCGGCCTCCGACCGCTCCTCTGTGAGAATCTTGGACTGGCCTCTGTCCCCAGCACGGCAGGGCAGAGGAAGTATTGTTGTGAAGTGATGGAGGTCTGGCCGTTTCAGTCAGCAAGGGGGCGAGAACCACTGAGCTAGGGGCAGCGCACCTGGACCTCTGCACTTAGCGAACACTCTCCAGGTGAGACCCGTGTGCAGCCAGGGCTGAGGCCTGCTGAGAAACACCTGCATTGAAATCAGTTGGGAGCGAATGTGATTGGGGTGCTCGATGGTTCACAGCTTCCTTCTCATTTTCCTGAAATCGTCGTTAGATGTGTACAACAGGAACAAACTCAGCAACACGCCGTACCTATGTGCCACCCTTCCATCACCATTTCCCACACCAGACTGGTGTGAACATCTCCTTAACAGGCCTCTGGTTTTGGCCTGAACACCTGCATCATCACCTGGACCTGCCTTTGGCCGGGCTCACGGGACACTCAGCTTAGTCTCGCCCTGGAACTCCGAGCAGAGGGCCACCCCCTCCACTCCTCTGGCTAAGCAGCTCTCTTCCACCAGACCAGAAATGGTCCACCTACCAGAAATGCAGTCTGTAACGAACTCAACCCAGCTTCCTCATCTCCAGAGTTAGTGTCAAGGCGGGTCAGGAATTTATTAGATGCTCAGTTTTAATCAAATCGAGCTTTACCTTTTTCTTCCTCCAGATCACTTGAATTTCAATACTTGGAATTTATTAGATGCTCAGTTTTAATCAAATCGAGCTTTACCTTTTTCTTCCTCAAGATCACTTGAATTTCAATACTTAGAATTTATTCATTTTTCTTTTTTATTTGGAAGATTTTATTTATTTTTAGAGAGCATGGAAAGGAGGGAGAAAGAGAGGGAGAGAAATATCGATCAGTTGCCTGCCATACACCCGCAATCATGGGGGACCTGGCCCACAACCCAGGCATGTACCTTGACCAGGAATTGACCTGGTGACCTTTTGGTTCACAGGCTGGCACTCAATCCACTGAGCCACACCAGCCAGGGCAGAGTTTGTGTATTTTTTAAAACCTCCCAATCCTCTTGAACATTCTTTTCTATGATCTTCAGCCATGAAATGACACCTATGTTTTCCCTTAATTTTTAATCTGCTTCTCTGCCTTGTTGTAGACACATCTATGGCAGGGACACTTTCTCCTGGAGGTGCCGCTTTTAGCCACATGAAGCTTTGGGAGCAGAAGTTGGCCTTACACTTGACCTTGCCTCTGTGATGGCCTGTGCCAGTGCGGGCCTGCAAAGCATCCTCTACCTGACGCCTGTGGTGACACCCTATGTTGTAGGGTTTTCTCGTGGCGTCCTTGCCCTTTCAGTCGCCGCCACGAACTACCCACATGTGCTTCTTGTCAGGTTAATGGTTTCCCTAAAGGTGGTTTCCCTAAAGGTGGTCCTAAAGGTTGGCTCAGTTAGCTTTTGCCATATGGCAGGAACTTTTTTTAATAGACTTTATTTCTTAGAGCAGCTTTGGGTTCACTGTAAAACCAAGTATGAAGGACCAGAGGTTCCCACACACTCCCAGTCCCCACAAAGACACCTCTGTCAACACTGCCACCCCCCACTCTCAATGTCCGGCAGCACAGTGGTGCATTTGGTACAGTTTATGAGCCTTATTAATACATCATCGCCTGAAGTCCAGAGTTTCCATCTGGATTCGCTCTCTGTGGCACACACTCTGTGAGTTTGGACAAATGAGCAGTGACTTGCTACTCATCACATACTGGGAATCACACAGTATGCGGCCGTTTCAGGTTGGCTTCTTTCACTTAGCGATGTGCATTTAAGGTCCCCCCGGTCATGTCTCGACTGCTCATTTCTTCTCAG